TAATTAAGTCCGACCCATCAGATGGGCTAATTCAATGACTTGCTAGTGTAATGCCAGCAAAAAAATGTTTGTGTGTGTGTGTGTGAATAACTTGTGCATTTATTTAGAGATAGAAGTTTTATCCTTCTTCTGAATTATGTTGAAAAGAAGTTTAGATGTTAAAAAATATTTAACAATACAGATTAGTATTTATGTATGTCTTTTGTATTATTTTTAAATAAATATATACTTACGCCTAACATAAATCAAAATTGTAGCATTGCTAGTTACTTCTTTTTGTATGGTTGTACCAGATGGTCTCAATGTTGTCGTGGCTTGACAAGTATATTTTCCTGCATCTTCTGCTGAAATACTAGTTAACCTCAACATATCTCCATTTTGATGAAAGTATTGATCACCTTGCTTTAGCCATTGAAGATTATGTGGAGGAGGATTAGATGCTACATTGCATTTCACATTTACTGATTTGCCTAGTGTAATTTCTTTGTCTGGTAACAAACTAACCTTAGGTCCATCTATAAAAATATATAATTAATATCATTAATCTGAATAATGAATTATATATATATATATATATAATTTATAAAAGTTTAATTAAATATTTACATAATACTGAGAGTTTTAGATCTGCTTTTGTTGGTTCTCCTATTCCATTATCGGCTATACAAGTATATGTTCCACTATCTTCTGGTGTTACAGCAGTAATTGTGTGATTGAGTTTGTTTGAAAGAAACTGACCATTTTTTACCCATTTTATCATTCTAACTGCAGGATTAGCAACAGCAGAACATGTCATGAATGCATCAGTATCAACCATAACATTTAATGGATTGTAAGGACCAACAGTTAAGCGGGGAGAATCTGAAAATAAGTTTATAATGATATCAACATTTGTTTGAACACACATTATCACAATTATATTATCTTTGGAGGAATCTAAATTTTTCTCAAAAGATAATGTTTATATTTGCTCATTATTATATGATAAATATTGCTAAAAGATTACTTTGTTGCATATATTAAAATTGATAGTTATAATGTAGATAGATACTAACAATGAACATGTAACTTTATAGATGCTTCTCTCCTCTCTTCTTCTCTGATAGCTCTGTTCCAAACTGTACATCTGTATTTCTTTCCATCATCATCTACTCTTGGATGAATTGTAAGAATATTGTATGTTGGATGATCTCTGGAACCTCCATTTTTTGTCGGACTGGATAAGGCAGTTCCTTCCCTATACCACTGAATTACAGGATCTGGACTTCCACCTTGACTGCTACAGGTAAGTTCAAAAGGTATACCTTCCCTTGCGAGTGGAGTGGCAGGAACAATACGAGGCTCACCTGGTGGAACTGAGAAATAAAAATAACAAAATATTACATGCTTTGAGAAATTTATAATAAATTTATACAGAAGATTGCATTGTGTGAATTGTTCCATCTGTTGGAAGAATAAAAGGATACACTCAATGGCAAAAGGGGGATAAAAAAAGCAGATGATAAAAACCAAGAAAAAAGAACATTGTGAAGGACAAAATTTGAGTTTTTTTTTTTTCAGAAGCAGAGACTGATTTTGCTACTGTGTGTGAATTTATTCTTACATTTATGTTTCTGATTAATATATTTATTTCTTTTAATGAAAAAAAAGTTTTTTGTGTGTTCAAATTTTGAAAAACTTGAGGAGAGACCTGATCAAAAGGCAATAGTAAAATATAACACCATCTGTTTGTATAAAAAAATGAAATCACTAATTTAAAACTTACCATGTACAGTTAAATAAACTGATCCAATAGAACCTTGTCCAAGAACATTTTCTGGCTGACAAAAATAATCTCCTTCATGACTAACATGAACAGAAATAATGGTGTAATTAATACCATGGCTAGATTCTGATTTTTCTTGACCTTCTTTCCACCATGAATATTCTGGAAGTGGCCATCCTGGAGGTCTCACTGAACAGGTTAAAGTAAATGGTTTTTCCGCAATAGCTATTGGATTGCGTGGTAATATTTCTGTCTCACCAGGTTTATCTAAAAATAAAAAATAAAATAGCTAAAATATTTACACAATTACAAAATTATATATGATTTAAATTAACTAAATGAATATGTGGTGATGACACTTACGTTCAATGCGTAAATTCATCTCTGATTGTGCTGGTTCACCAACATTATTTTCAAATTCACATATATAAAGGCCTCTATCATCAGCATTTAATGCATTTCCTTTGCGGCCTAGTCCTTCAAAAATTAATGTACTTTGTACAGAATATGCATTATTATCTTCTATATTATCTAAAGTTTCTATCCTATAAATAGAGCTATTATCTAATATAACTTTTCCACGATGAAACCATTTCACAGAAGGCTTTGGTTTTCCTCTTGCCCTGCATGTTATACTGAATCCTATATCACCAGTTTTTTTACTATTTTGAGGTTTTAGACGAAGTGAAATTCTTGGTTGTTCTGTAATTACAAAAAGGAAAACAGTTTTTAATTTTCTATTTAAATAAAATTTACTTTATACTAAACAATATTTTATAAT